TCGTGCCGCCCTCTTGTGACCACCGGGACATTTTGGGCTTCTCCAGCCCAACAACAGAGGGCCCTGGAGCACGGTTAGCGATGATGTCCCTGCTGCCACCCGCCCCAAGTCAAGACTCCACAGCCCAGGTGCCAGGCTGCTGCAGGAGCGTCCCCACTGTGCAAGAGCACGGACGTACTTCAGATTGCCTCAAATTCCAGCACCCTTCAGGATGGTTTTTAATTGCCATTCATTTATTAGGGCACCTTCCTACCAAGCTTCTGCTCTCTCTTTACCCATTCCTTATGTAGTCCCCCCCTATTTTAACCAGGGCGCACCGAGTCCTGGTAAGCAGCCCTTTCGGCAGACTTGTGTCCCTCAGAGGGTTGCCGAGACCTTCCTCCCCTGAAGATGCGGGTGTTGCCTGCAGGAATACTGATTTATAGATAAACCAGCACAGCTGTTCATTCCCCTTAGCAGAATCTGGGACCAGAAGGGAGCACAGGCAAGATTTAAGCACAAGGGAACTGATGTCACGGCTCAGCTTCAATGGGTTCTGGCAGACGTGCCTGACGTGTCCTGCTCTGGAGTACACAGCACTCGGTGTTGGGCCATGGAGAAGCGCTGGGCAGGGAACTGGGAGGCTTTCCCCCTTCTGTCCTGCTGCTGTTAGTGATCCACATCTCCCCTTCGGTGTCTCATCATTGCAGGACCTGAGGGTTACTGGCACTCGGGCATCTCTCTCATGGACCTGTAACAAGAACTTCAGGGCTTTTTTTTTTTTTTTCCTCTGCAGAATGCAGAAGTCCTGATCCCCTACAGCACTGCCCACTGTAGGACAACAGCCCGGCATGCACAGATCAATGCTTGCTCTGGTCCTCGCTCCAAGAAAACATCAGCACGCCTGGCTAGAACATAGGAACATCAAATATTTACATGCATCTGTAATAGCAGCAACGCTCTTCTAGCACAGGGAAAAAGGATTTACACCTCACCCTGGTGCTTCTACCAACGTCTGTTAACCCACTGATGCACAGACACACAAATCAAATGCTTAAAAGCATTCCAGAGGCACAGGAGTAGAGAATTCAGCTGGTTTTCTGCCCCACCCTCTTTTAATTGACTCCAAACTCCCAGGTGGTATAAAATGCCTTTCTTTGTCCACGTATTGGCAGGATCCCTTTGGAGTGCCTCTGGGCTTTAGGAGAAGTTCTGCCAGCCGGAGGTGCTGCCAGGCCCAGCGGAGCTCCTGTGGGACAGGCCATTCCTCACCGCTAACCAGAAGTACAGTGTGCACAGTACTTTTAATCCACACATACGACTGCCCACGTGCCTTTCAGTGTGTTTTAATTTATAAATTTTGAAGTTAAAACAAATAAATTCTTTTCACTGATATTAAATAGATCAAAATTAAATTCAGATTCAAACACATACAACTTCATTTAATAAAGAGTATTTAAAAAAAAAAAATCTTAGTAGGAAAGAAAGCCTGGTTTATGCATGAGAAAATCATCCACTTTCTCTACAGAAAAGTTAGAACACTTCATTAAAGGGAAGACATCTGCTTTTCTCCTTGCCACCCTTCCCTCAGCTGGCTTTAAACATGAAGGAAGAGACTTTTTCCCCCTTGGAAAGCATAACAATTGAGTTATCACATACATTTTCATAACAAATTAAAAATCGATGTTGCGGTTATAAGGAACTACATGTATTTTTGAAGGCATGTGTTCAGTACCTGGCTGAACAAAACAAAGCACCATTCAATGAACAGGCACTCTCAGTGCTCTCATGTAATACCATCATTTTAAAGGAATATCATCAACGTGAATTCTAGGTAGTCTGTGAATATTAAATAAGCTTGATTCTATTTCGCTTGCCTAAGCCTGAAATTTTTCAATCGTGCTTTAATGCGCCCGTATCTGGCTCACTTTGGAACTACCTGTTTGCTGAGGGGGAAGCCAATTGATTAAAATTGGTGGCTCTACAGAACATCAGTTTGGCTGAGGAACGAATTACAGTTTTAGCTTCTTAAGTGACATAAGACAGTTAATCTTCAGTCAATCAATCCGATGCTCATTTCCACTGGTGCACAGCGCTTGGTCTCTCTGCCTTTCTAAGCAACTATATTCTACTTATAAAAAGGGCTACGTTTTTTCAATAGATTATCATCTTCAAGTTGAAGGCCAACCCACTCTTAGTGAAGCTCTTCCAGAACCGATTACAACATTGTGGTGGGGAAACTATTTTTGACAAGATCTACTGTGTGTTTTTAAGCAAATTGACATCACGCATATCTCACACAATGGAAAGCTGAGAGAAGCAATCAGGCAATGAGCTACAGCAACTACAACTCCTTGCCGAGAACACTGATGTCCCCTACTCTCTGCTAGAAGAAACAACGATTAAAAACCCTACCATACATAAGACATGTAACTTTATTCAACTGGAGGCATGAAAACTCGGAGATCTACTATCCTACCTGCGTCCTGCCAGCTAAAACCTTAGGGCAAGTTACATCCTTAGTGATACAAATCCACTTAAAAATTTTACGGTTTCAGAAGATGGTGGCTTCCATACTAAAGGAGGATTGCCATGAGTCAAAAACCAACCAAACCAACCACACCTTCACCATATAACCACTGTATTTCTGCCTATTCTTCCAGATTAAGAACACCTCCCAACTAAAAACTTCAGTGACCAGCTGAAAAGTAAATCTAGTTAATATAAAAATAATTCTCTTCTCTCTTGTATAAGCCAAGAGCAACATTACAGAACAAACCATCACGAATCTCTAAGTCAAAAACAAGCAAGGAAAAAGCTGGGATTTTAATTCCTCTTAAAGATAATTTTCCTTCTTTTCAAAAAGATACTGGACCAATTAAAAGTTACTCCAATTATCTTTCAGATATAATACCAGCTTAAGTCATATTACAGAGATAGAATTCCAAGGATTTCTCTAGAAGTACGGTTAAATTCTTGTGCCACAGTAGGAAAGAAAGATTTGGCTCAAAGAATCCCACTGTAGCCACCAATAGCTTTACTATCTACTTCCCTTGAACAGTTCTTTTCAGCTTCATAAAGCTAAACTAATGTTTAAATAAATGGAAAACTGTGCACTTAAAAGAAAAATCACATTCCATAGCAGTAATAATTTAATGAAAGTTTAAAAATTCCCTATTTCCATTTTATACCCATGTATATGAAACACTACAGGTCCTCTCACAGCACCTTGGAACAGCCACAGACCGTGGTCTAAGGAAGGCAGGAAGAGCAGCTGTCAGCTTCACGCATACTCGCTGATAACAACTGTTCCGCAGCAAAGCTGGGTCCCTGCTGACAGCAACTGATTTTTCCTTCTTCTCTGCACTCCCAGAAATGCAAAAATGTACCTCTAAGCTGCACATTTAGAAATTTCCATCCCAACTGTCAAATATTTATAATGCTTAGAGCAGAAACTGCGCTTTTATACATAAATATAAATTAGGCATATTTGTACATCAGCAGGACCCACATACATCTGTCTACATTACTACAGAAAAAAGAAAATATGACGCTCATTTTCAGGAAAAGTGACATTTTAACAGCAGCTTTTCACCACCAGATGTTTCAAAGCTCTCCCCTTGGATTGCTTACTGAAAATAATGGACGACATAAATAATTTCTGTACAGTTTTGAAAAAGCAATTCTCCAGGTCTCAGTGTCTATGCTGAAATATAAACAGCACACTTGTACATCTGTGTATGGTTCTCCAGGCAAGGTACATAAGTGTACCTACACGGAACTGGAGAAGAAAGCCTCCTCCCCTTTTATAAAAAGTATTAAGCAAAATAAAATAAAATAACCACAACAAAAAAGACCCAGACAAAGTCTCTCACATCTAAGTAAAAAGAAACAACATTCAAATTCATATGCATTTATGTTGAAACGCTGTTCATGTAAACAACCAAATGAAAAGTCACATACAAGCAGTTAAGACCGGAATTCATATCCTACTTCACAGCAGCCACCACCTTCATCATGATTTAGTTTTCTTCCTCCAACCCATTTTAAAACTTTTTGAGCATAAGTCCTGGTGCGGTACGTTAGCACCCAAACATCTTAGGTATCAAAACCTCAACTTCACGCAAACTCTGGGGTTTTTTTAACATATATATACACTTTACTTGGTACTCTCCAGACAAATTTCCATTCTCAATATGCAGAGTGACAGCTAAGTTCCTGTTGCAAACCAGTCTTAACTGTTTCTCCAGGGCTTTTAACTCTCTAATCTATGGTCACATGAAAAGATTTTTAACTATCCAGTGTAAGCACCCTCCCTCTCACGCAATACATGGATTAGTCAGTGTAACTAAGGTGTTGAAGGCATTTGGCTGAAACACTCTTTCTTGACATATGAAGGGATGAAACATAAATACCCAATACATGAGTATGAGGAGAGGCAGTTTCCTTCCGCCCAGCTCCAATTAACTGAAAAATGGACCCAACTTTTTGCTGAAATCTGATTTCAGAGTGAAAACTCACAGTCCTATGATGCACTTCATATACATTTCACCACTCTAAGTGAATGAAAAAGGAGACAAACATTTCTTCCCTACCCAACACATAACAGCAATGAAGGTCTATTATTTCATAAGGCATATTCATCTTCAGTGAGAATCCAAGCACAAGCAAGAATTCTGCCAAGTCGTGCGATCCTATAACCCAATGTCTGGAAATTCCAGTATCTCCCACTCTATCCCTCAGGCAGAATCATCCCTGTCACAGCGGGTATTTTTTATTTAACACAACTAAAGAGCAGGGCTAAATAAAAAAATACCTCAGCAGCTGGACCTCTGTATCTTTCAAAAAGAGGGACACACAAACGACCAATTTTTGCAGTTCTCTGGCTTTATCCCATAACCTGCCTTTTTACAATATCTCTCTCTATATATAAATTAAAAAGAGATAAAGCCAACGATTAACTGCAGCAGCGTTCATGAAAAAACTTCAGTCCGTATTACAGAGTCTCTTCTGATCAGAGATCACTGAGGTGTAAAGGTGAGAATCATCCAGCTGATGACAAAGTAGAAGAGGAAGATGGGGTAGACAACAAGAGCTTTGCGGTTTGGAGGCTGACTGTCTGCCAGGAAAGCTGTAGATGCTGGTGGAAAAGAAAAACACTTGAAATGTGAGCAGCATAAAACTAAGTCTAAGATCCACCGCAGATGTTAACAATTTTGAATTAGGATCTGCATTAGAATTACATTGAGAGAGGAAAACAGAGTAATCCATTGCTCATTACCAATGGTCTATAATCACCAATTAAAACTTTATCATATAGAAAGATAAATGCTGATTAACATTCTGTAAGAGTTGTACTTACAGGTTAAGAACAGAAGAAATAATGCAAATACATCTGTACGAAATTAGCATTTCTAATAGTATTTATAGCACAGATCACGGAATAAAATACCCAGTAGTCTCACATGGGGTTCAATATTAAATTATCGTCCTTCTGCTGAAGGCAATTTGCAGATGACCATGAAAATCAACAGAAGCTTAGGCAGAGGCTGAATCTCCGCCTACACAAAGACTGGAAGAAGTATTTCCACAGTACTTCCAGCAGCCTAGGAAACACCTTAAACTACAATACCCATTGGCTTTACCCAACAGAATGCTTGCAGATCTATCTCCTTAAGCACCACGCTACTTGGTGCACACAACAGCATTATAATGCAACAAGGTACTTACCTAACGTTGACCAACCAAACATAGCTACTACTACAATAAGACGTATAATGAAGCTGATGGTCCCAGAACCTGCCAGCAGTACCAGCCTGCACACCAGCATTGCCACTGTCAGGGGCAGGACACAGTAACCCAGAACGCACAGGCTCTGAAAAAAAGATCTGGAATAGAGAGGCAGAAACGGGGAAAAAAAGTAGTCAAACCAGAGCACTGAAGAAACTCCATTCATGGGAGCATTTTAACTGCTACTAAATAAACCAACACTCACATAGTTCCTCCGAGAAGCTTTGAGTTTAATGTGATGACAACTGCACCAAACCAGATGATGACAAAGACCTCAGCAAATTGGGGCCCTCCGTCGTCTTTACTATCTGCTGATCCACCCTGAAGCATCCTGTTGCAGGCAACAGAGAAAAGGAGTCATTTACAATTGATGACTGAGTTTTCATAGACTTGGAGTAGGTGGCAGAATAGGAGCCTGAAACATTGACTCTCAGTTAGGCTGCAGACCAATCATTTTTTGTCTGTTATTTTTACTAGTATCCTCAATTTTGTACAGAAAAGGAAAATGGTTGTGGTTCAACTGAGGGCATTTCAGTCCATTTGTATAGGCTTACACAGTCCACAAAACAAGTAAAGAGAATAAAACCACAGACAACAGGCTTTTCCAGGCTGTGTTGCTTGTTTCCTGTAGTTATTATAAGCTTTTCTTACGGCTTCCATGTTTTATCATGCACTACAATGCAGACAACTTCATCTCAACACACGTAATCAGAAATTTTTAGCTTCTTATTTCTCCAATGTAAAAGACTATAAAAACCCAAATCTGCCCACTACAGGTACTCACAGCGCAAGTGAGACACAAAGCACCAAAGGGCCCCAAAGATCCCCTGTAAGTAAAGGAAAAAAAATAATCATAAATATCATAGAATGATGCTCCATTTCAGTTTACCAAGAGTAATAAAGCACCTTTTCCAACTTCCAGTGTATCACTTTCAGTATAACACTTTCTTATAATTTTCTTATTTAGCATCTCACACCATATTCTATAATAGAATTTATTCAAAGCCTGCCAACTGTTAAAGCTGACTGTTCCACATATTCTGGCACATGGTCCACCTTTAAAGAACTTTGGTAATGCTCTGAATTTTCATGTTTGCTATTCAGCATTCTACAACAACAGAAAGAACACAGAACAGACGCTTCTGAATCCCTGTTCCCGTGAACTCCTCCTTCTCCAATGCAGGCAAAGTCTGTTCTCAAAACATCCTTTCAACATTTTGAAAATCGTCTTATACGTACAGTCTCTGAGGAGCGCACTACTCTTCTTCGGATACATGACATGGACAAATTTCTTCCCAACAGCCTTCAGATCTCTCATCTGAAATAAAGAAGTAACACTTTAATTTACCCCTTCGTAAAAATTACTGTTCACAACTAAAAGCAGAAAGATAGAAGTAAAGCAGTATCAATGGTAAATCAAGACGGGACCCAAACCAAAGATTTCTCTGCAATAAACAACGCCTACTTTTTCCTACATTCCTTAATGACCACAATATTATATCCTTTAATAACACCCAATTAAGACCTATAATTTGTTTGCTCCACTAGGAAAATAAAATAAAAAGTCCTACTAGCCAGGAAAGTTTTCTTCCAAGCTCCACCTGAGGCCTTTACCCTTGCAACGATTTTGAGATCACAAAGAAACTTCAGGGCTGTTATTCGGGTATTTTTTGACCCACGAGAATTCATTTTACATGATTAATTCTAAAAAGCATCCCCAAGCGTACAATGCAGTACAAGTTAAGTAGAGCTATGCAAAAATACAGGTTTTGCACAACAGTTGGCCAAAGACATCAGCAAAACACATGTTTTACTATAGACAGAGGCACAGACTCACAATAGTATCCCTAACAGGCTCATCCAGTGTGGAGTAGTCTTCATCAGGAGAGTGAGACCCGACTGGAACAGTGATCTCCCCTTCCACTGGAATGTCTTCAGATATCGACACATCTGCAAGACCTGCAAACTAAATGATTTTTAAAGCCTTTAGAAAGAAAGAAGTACAAACCAGCTCATACTCACTTCAGACTTTTTTCAGCTGGTTTTAGAATGAAAACAACTGCTCAGAATTCAAAGATACAACACTTAATAACACAGCCAACAACAAAGCCCAGCCGTTGTCTGCTCAATTTACACAGCTCACAGCCTAAAGAGGTGACTAGATATGTACAAGCAAAGCATTTGGTTCCTTCACTAACTCCCAGTAATCAGCTTTCTGTACTTTATTATTTAGACAGCAATAACTAATGGAAGTAAAAAGTTTGTGGTTTTTAAGTAATGAAATATCTGACAGATATGTAAAGCCACACCAATGCACAGGAGTACACTATCTTTCACAGACTCCATGGGGAAACAAGTCATAAGAAACTGTACGGCCATCTACAGCCTGAGCACAAAGCCAAGGCTGTAAAGTGCCGAATGCTAACGAAACTTTTGCCACCAAAGCGGCACGTTAAAGCAGTCGAGCTCCCAGAGATGGAAGCAAACAGAGAGCAGCCCGACCAGTTCCACAGTCAACCCTCGGGCAGGCAGGGCAGGCGGCAAGCCGCAGGGAGGGAGCGGCCGGAG